CAGTTCCTTCGATCAAAGATGACATTGCTGGCCAAAGGGCACAGATCTGATTAGAATATTTCTCTAAAGCATGGCTGGCTGGGGAACTCTGGGAGTTGAAGTCCACAGGTCTTAAAGTTGCCAAGGTTGGCGACTGCTGCAAGTCTAAAGGCCTTCTCGAGCCCCTTTCTAAGTTCTCACTCCCTGAGAGAAGACAGAGCCTTACTTTCCAACTGTATCTTTAGTTTAGCTTTTAACCTTCTCCAGACTAGAAAATCATGAAGAATTACTCCAGGGGGGCCGGGCAGATTGTCTTCATCTACATCACCGGCAATGTACGTTTCTCGAGAAGTAAAGCTAGTGCAATGACATCAAGTGCCTTGTTCCCCTTTCTCCAACCTGGCGCCCTCTAGATGAGTCCGCCGTTTCCCCACCACTCAACTCTGGAGCATATCTAGGGCGCCAAGTCGAGAAAGTGCATGATCGAAGCTACTTGCACGTCAATGGATATTCCTGATTTGGTATCCCAGGAAACCCAGATTTACATATCATACTTAATACTAAGGCTGTTTAATTGATGGCAGGATCTCACCAAACCAAAACGGATTACCCCATTTATCCTCACCGTCTCGGGACTCCCAGACAATGGGATTCACTTTCAAATAGGTATGCACAGGATTTCATTATTGAGATCCTAAAAACAGAAAGCAGCATAGGATTGTATTATAAACCAGGTTAGTTCAAACCTATGCTTTTGTCCAGACATTGGTTCAGTTCAATGAGGAGTCCGCTGAAGTAAATGCAGCCCTTTCATATTCAATTTGGAGAAAAAAAATCGTATTGACTTCAAGAGGGTTTCCCAAGAAGGAAAAGTGCTTTGGGATTAAATGGAATTTCCTCTTAGGTCGATAGACAAAGATACCTTGTATATAACATCTGTAAGGGTTTAATTGGAGTAGTTTCTATTTACAGGAGAGTTGAATGAGATTTATAACATTCCGAGGAAGAGTGCCCTATTATTCTTAGTCTTTCCATTTCTATCTTCTATCTTTTAGCTTGATTCACACAATGCACCGACAAACTCATAATGTGAGGTGATTGTTTTTGGTTTAGGGTTGTTTATAAACGACGGTTTATGACTTAACTATGGAGTGAAAGCAGAGAATTGTTACTCGGCCAGTGAGCTGAGTAAGCAAATCATAGTTTAGTTTGATGCGCCAACCTGATAGCTGTTCATACTGAATCCCAAACTAGCTAAGCACATTTCTCTATGGTTGGTTTAGTGTTTAATGTGTCGGATGGACCCAGAACATTGCATTAGTTCTGCAACCCATGGTTAATTTAAGCATGATAACCATGTGAACCCAGCCAGTCACTATGCGGAATCGGGGCTTTGAAAGACCTGCCGTGTTTGCAAAGCAATCTGACTCGTGGCTCGCTTAACTCTCGTTCACTGAATTATCCCCAAAAGCTGAACTGACCCCACATTCTGAATCATAGGCAGGTCAACCACATTTCAGCCTAGCTTGTCGCCCGAACTCAGACAATCCTTGGCATGTTTTTCCTCTCGACTGCTCGCAGCAGCCCCGGGCTTCCTCCATCCCGGCACTGAGATGGTTGAGGTTTTCCTGAGTTTATCCTAACGCCCGACTTTTCGTCTTCTCGCTGCGCCCCCGCAACTCCTCCGCTTCTTCCTTTAGAAGATTCCCACAAAAAGGCGATCGGGAAAACCTCCAGCCCGCATGAAAAGGGGAAAGGGGTCTTCTTTCTTCTTCTTTCCTCTCTCATAAAGTGGGGGGGGCACACTGCTCCCTCCCCTTCAGTTGAACACACGGTCCTTTTGCCGGAGACCCTGTGGGCAGGTCGCATTGCTCGTTGCGATTGTGATCCCTTACACGGCTAAGGGGCTCGGAGTGCATCCCAGCCCACCACGGAACCGCGCACAGCTCCACCTAGACTCTCTTTCCAGCCGCGTTTTTTACTTCATCTATTCGGTATTTTGCGTCCATGGGACCGGGGGAAGAAAGTGTGGTTATCAGCCGAGGCATGGTATATAAGCTTATAGGCGTGGGGAGAGGGAAGGTTCAGAAACGGGCATAAAATCCTTTCCTAATTGTTTTATTAGAGGGATCAGATTAATACTAAACCTCCGTGCGAAGAGTCCTCCACGGAGAAAGCTGCTCTTCCCTCCCATCCGCCTCCCTCGGGATCCAGGAAGAGTAAACACCGCCAAAATCGACGCAAATCTCGTTGAAACTTGAAAGGATTTCGCTTCCACTCCTCGGTGTTGGTTTTTTTTTTTTTAATGGCGATTCCAATCGATTAGACACGTGCTAATTGGAGAGCGGAATGCTTAATCGCTGCGGCAGCCAATAGGAGTTCTCTTAAAAACAGCCCTTGGCCCAAGGTGGTGGTGGTGGTGATGTTGCTGCGAGTTATTAGAAAATAGCTAAACGTATCCTCAAAAGGCGTAATAGGGAAGAGATTTTTCTCAATACACGTACACCTTTTTTCCATTAAACACAAATCGCGCTCCCTGTCTTTCTGGGGCGTAGGCGAGCATTTAAGCGACAACATTTAAAGAGCAAAACGCTCAGATCGCAGATGGCTGTTAAAGGAAATCTTCTCCAAAGAGAGAGGGTTGGTTTTTCCAAAGAGGAAGATCTCTTTGCGCCAGCAACATCAAATGCAGTCCTCCCTTCCCCTCCTCCCCCCCCCCGCCTCTTAAGCGGCTCCCATTATGTAGTTTAAAGTACAATAATCTCGAGGGCAAAGGGAGGGATTCTGCAAATAAGAACGGCAGCTCTAACAATTAACATGAAGGGGAAAATGGGATTCGAATTAGGTGGAACAAGATCAACATTTAGCAAAGCGCCCCTGAAAACTTCTTCGGCTTCTAAGCAGTCGCCTCAAGCAGCCGCCTCAAGTGTTTCTCAACCTTGGCCACTTGAAGAGGTATGGACTTCAACTCCCAGAATTCCCCAGCCAGCTGGCTGGGGAATTCTGGGAGTTGAAGTCCATACCTCTTCAAGTGGCCAAGGTTGAGAAACACTGACAGCTTTTTGCCAGCGGCTATCTGCTCGAATCAAACGGAGTTTATGGGGGACCAAGTTCCCGCCCCACTCATTACTGTGGAAGTTGCTTCCAAAAACCTTCTCTTCTTCATTGGCGTGGAGAAGATATATCCCACGGAAATGTACCGCCAAGGCCACGTGGACAGCCGCTTGGACCTTTAGATAAAAATCCACTCGTGTTTTTCTGACCACAAACAAATATCGGAGTAACGCATTGGCTTCTATGCAGCATCGTGGGGTTTCGTGTTCCTCCACCTACAGAGCCATAGATCTTCTCCTTATGAGGCTTAGATAACTGGGTTTTTATTATAATTCCCAGATGGAAGCAGCGCCTTTCAACTATTTCGTATTTGCTTTTATTCATCTCAACTTCTTTTCCCCTAAAAAATATCAGTTCAGGAAACAATCCGTCCTTCTCTTTGGGTCTTACAAAAACATATAAAAGGGTTTTGTATAGAAAACGGATTGTCGGTCGACTTGAATTTTGTCTGACGCGTTTCCATTCCTCTGTTTTCCGGTTATGGTATATTTATACATTTGATTTAAACAAAAACCGAGCAACAAAAGCAGGATCCCAAACAGCATTTAAGAAATCCTACCCAAGCCAGTAGCGTTTATTTTCGAGTAAACGTTTCTTAATTCAGTCGTCTATCTTGATTTTTCCTTTCCCTATACATGCAGCCCGTGCTCGCAGAGATGCATGTATAAATATAGGCAATAAAAGGCTCTGGTGTTCCAATTATCACATCGGTGACTAAATGTGAATATATGGAAGGAGAACATGCGAAGGTGTTACTTCATTATAAACTCTGTCTCTCTCTCTCTCTCTCTCTCTCTCTCTCTCTCTCTCTCTCTCTCTCTCTCTCACACACACACACACACACACACACACACACACACACACACACACACACACGTATTCAGCACAGTCCGTTCAGTTCAATAGGACCCTTTTCGACCAATCGGGCATAAGACTGCGGAATTAAATGTTCTCTTTCAAATATGATTTAGCATTCGGGAATCAGAACTCTGTATTAGTCTGTTCACGTGTTTGCCTTTTGTCACTGTAAATATAGCAACAGCCATATGAGAACCCCATTATCAGCCCGCAGGAATTGTTAATGGTTACACGGCCTTCCCCTCCAGTCCACCCTCGCCCTTGTTTATTTTTCACCAATCTCAGATCCTTACAAAAACAGCACCAACGGCGCAGAAGAACGGGACGGGGACAACCGTGGGGATTAAGGGAAAAACAAAGGCAAACGAGGGGTAACAAACACCCAGCCCTGCGTTTGGATTCCTCTGACTACTTTCTGATCCGCCCCTCCCCATCCCAGCATCTTCGCCATCCACCTGAGGTGAAACTTTCCAGGTGAGACATTCCTGATTTTTTTGTTTTGATTTTTCTTTTTTCTTTTCTTTTCTTTTCTTTTTGAAAAAAAACTTTGTTGGCCTGGCTTCTGCACCTTTTTCTTTTTGTGCTGTGGGTTGGTTTTAAGACGAAACGAGCTTTCCAGCCCATCCTCACGCTTTCCCGGTTTAGGTTGTTTTTCCTTCTTTCCTCTCTGTGGGGCTGCGTTTCCTTTTTCTCTCAAGAGCATCTATCAATGAGTTGTCAATCAAGGCGGCGGCTTCGCTTTCATCTTCTCTCTTCCCGCCCCCGCCCTTTTCACCAGAGCCAGAGAGCGCGGGAGGGGGAGGGGGAGGAGGCGAAGCGGGCGGAGGGACTGCAAAGTTAACGCTGCGCGAGGAGAGCGCGGTGGGCGGCTGCCTTTCCACCTCGCGCGGCCCGTCTCGCAAGCCCAGCAGAGCTCGTGGACAGACCCAGGACCCCTCGCCGGCGGATTTCGCGCGAGGGAATCCTCGTCGCAGGCCGGGAGGCCACAGAACCGCAACCGGCACCTTCGGCGAAAGGAGACCTTTCTATGCCCGCCCCTCTCGCCGACTAAAACCGAGCGCTCGGTCCCCCCCCCCCTACCCACACCCACACCCACACCCAAAAAAAGCGAGTGCGCGCCAGCAGCACCAGGAAGAAATTTGGGGTTGGTTGGCCTTTTGATCTCCAGGGTTGCAACCCGGCTCGGTTTGGGGGCTGGGGGGGAGGGGGCTTTTCTAATTCCTGAAGAGGCTAACTTCCTCTCCTCCTTCTTTTTAAGGCGCGTCCCCTTTCACTCCACCCACCCGAGAACTTTCGCTCCTTCTTCTTTACCTGCACCTGAGGGATTTTTCGGCTCCGCTGCTCCTTGTAAATGCCAGCCGCCCGGTTCAGTTCGCTTCGGGAGAGCCAGGACGGCGCAGAGGACTAGGCAGGCGAGCAGAAGGGGGGGAAAAAAAAGTCTTTCCCTGCCAAGGAACAAAAGCGGAATCCTGGTGTGTTTGTGTGTGAGATTGCTTTCCCCTCTTCCCTCCGGCCTTTCTCTCCCGTTGGCATCCCGCTCCCCCCCCACACACGCTCCAACTTTGGGCCCCGGACCTTCGCGGTGTGTGTGCGCGCACGGGCGCGGAGACCCCGGTCCTTCCTTGGGCGGCTTCCCAACGGGGCCGCTTCTGTATCTCCGAACGCTTCCATTCAAAGGGCTCGTTGGCTTTTCCTCTCGAAGACCGGCGTTTGTGCTTCACACACAGACACCCCGGGGGGGGGGCGGGGGGAAGAAACCGGCCGGTTGTGCCGTCTTTCACAAAAGGAAAGGGAAAAGGGGGACCTCGGGGGTCCACAACCCCCCCCCCCGCAGGCTTCGCGTTAGAAAAGCGGAGTTAAAAGTGTCTCTCAGAGAAGCAAACTTGCCCGACTTTCGTGCCGTCTTAGCTGCAGATACAACAGAAACCGGCGGGGGGGGGCGAGTCTGCCCGGCTCTTTAGCTCTCTTTCCCCTCCCCTTCTTTTAAAGCAGACAAAGTAGACGGGGCCGTCTACTCCGCTCCAGCCTTGCTTGCTCTCCCCTCCCCCAGGTGTTTGGATATGGATGGGATGGAAAAGGGAGGAGAGCGCTGCGCTTAGGCTGAGAGAGAGAGAGAGAGAGAGAGAGAGAGAGAGAGAGAGAGAGAGAGAGAGAGACGGAGTGGGGGGGAAGGCTTTAGGAGCGCAGCGCAAAGCGAGCTGGGCGCCCAAAGCCTTTTAACTTCCTCGCTCCTTCCCTGTCCTCCTGTTATCCCTCTCTTTCGTTCTCTCTTCCTGCCCTCCCTCCTGCCCTGCCCTCCTTCCTTGATTCCCGGGGTGGAAAAAAAGCCACTATGCCTCAGCTCTCGGGAGGCGGCGGCGGCGGCGACCCGGAGCTTTGTGCCACCGACGAGATGATCCCCTTCAAAGACGAAGGTGACCCCCAGAAGGAAACGATCTTCGCCGAGATCAGCCACCCGGAGGAAGAAGGGGACTTGGCCGACATCAAGTCTTCGCTGGTCAACGAGTCGGAAACGATCCCCAACAGCAACGGGCACGAGGTAGGCAGAGGGGAAAAGGGGAGTGGGTTTAAACTTCGGACGCCTGGTTGCGTGAAGGGCAAAGCGGGAGCGCTCCCCGGCTGATGGAGCGTGGAGCGGCAGAAAGTGGCTGGAAGGAGCGGCGGTCAAGGGGCAGCAGCAGCAGCAGCAGCAGCAGCGGGAGTCCCGGAGCAACAGAGCCCAGCCCGGAGGGAGACGGTCCGCTTTCGCTCTCTGGGTGGGCTTCCCTTTGGGTGGGAGCGCGGAGAAAACCTTTTCCGGCTTTCTTGCATCTATTTGGCCTCGAGTCTGTTCGGGGATTCGAGCAGGGAAAAATGATTGTTCTTTTTCTTTCATTTTAAAGGGCTTTCCTTGCTCAAGTTCCCTCGTTCCTCTTGGTTTTGGTTTTTTTTTTCCACGGCCAGCTAAGGAAAGGTAGTGGGGGGGGGGTGCGAGCCCAGAATGGAAAACGGGAAGCTGCAAGCCGCCAAGTGGGTTACAGTTTTTTTTGACCACGGCGCTTTGAAAACCGATCTGCCTCTGTTCCCCATGAATGAATAGCGCTTGGCGTAGTGGTGGGAGGAGAGAGAGCGGAGCTTGAAGCTGTTTGCACTCCCCTCCCACCCCTTGAGAAGTAGAGCCTGGGCTAGCTCAGGAGACGAAATAGAACCGGGTGATTTGTTTACCCAGAGTTTAATTTTATTGCTACTTTATCCCCAACTTAGAAGGGAGGGAGGTGGGGAGGAGAGACAAGGACACTACTGGTAGAATGCCTCTATATTAGCCTTTCTCCCTTCGCTCTTGGGCTTTCTTTTTCTTTTTTCTTTTTGCCAAACTGGCTCCTTTTTTCTGTGTGCAGACAGCTGTTTAAGATGAACTGTAACTCCCCGCCCCTTCTGTTTGGAGATTCAAACTCTTGAATTTGGTGCCGGGTGTTCTATATAGTAGTGTGATTATATTTGGTGCCCTGCCTTATCCTGATGTAAAGTAGGCTTGGAACTGAGAACATAGAGGCAATTATGTGTGGCTAAGTATTAACCATTTAACTCTAGATGGAGGAACTGAGCATGATCAGGACAGCAACACAGATTCTGCCCTCCCCCCTACTCATAACATTCTAAACAGTTTACAAGAATAGATCTTGTCAGGCAAAGGGTCACACAATTCTCCTCCCAAAAACCACAGTTAGGGATTTCCATTCAGATTTAAGAGTTGATTATAAATTGAGAAGCCCACTGCAACTGCAGGAAAACAGAAGCTCCATGCATATTTGCATAAAGGAAGTATCGACTGCTTGCATTGCTTCATGCATTAATAAAACCCAAAGTCTGAATTTGTTTACATAAAAAAAGATGCCTGAAAGTTTAGAGAAATGTTATTCTGTAGCCTGGGTAGCTCAGAGGTAGTAATAGCTGCTCGTAAGTCCGAAGAGCCTCTTTCCTCCTATTGCTTCTGGCAGGAGTTGACGTAGAAATATTTTAGGAATGCAGCAATGGGCCCTGCCCTACTAATAATTAGGAAAAGGGTCCCAAACACATTAGCTCCGAAATTCCACTCACAATCAGTGGGTAGGTACATATATGTGTGTGTGTGTGTCACAGTGAAGTGGGACTGGTCCTACTACCATTGGGCAGAATGAGACAGATGCTTTGAGCAGCTAACTTTGAGTTTTATAAAACAGCAACACTAAATTGCTGGTTATTTGTTAACAATTGTTGCTTATTCTAGGAAAAGACACTTGTATTTCTATCTTCTCCAATAACAAAATAACTTCCGTTTGGTTTTGTTGTTGTTGTTGTGCATAAGAGTTACCTGGGTTTTTTTCCCTCATGCAACAAAATATCAATGTTACAATGAAAAAGAGACTGTCTGAATGGTCTTTAATGTTTCAAAATTAATGCATCAATTTGTACAAAATGGTATTGATTACAATGAAGCTAGGAGCCTGTTCAAATGATTGTTGTTCACAAACTTAGTGTTATTTGGCTAATACCTAGCGGTTACTATGAATTCTAACACAGTATGCCTTTTCCTTTTTTGTAAGGAATAAGCATAACTTGAGTGGCCTTTTCCCATAAGGTTCCATTTTTTAATGTTTACATGATAAGCTTCATTCAACATAGCAATACTTCTGAATAGATGTGCATTGGTTTGGTCTGTAAATAAGTTTCGTGGCATGCTGAAGGCATGTTCATATGACTCCTAAGATCATACAATAGCATTAACCTAGAGCTGCCATGAATATTTTTGGATTGAAATCAGCAAGGTTACAGAATTAATCATAAACTTTAAAGGAGTTACATAAAGTATTGGTTAACTTACCCATATTAAAGCAAACTAGAGAGATTTTTTTTAAAGTTTTCAATAATGCCATTTTTAATAAAACATCTGATGCAAAACAAGGACTACAGAAGCCATTCTATAGCTGAAAAGAGAAAATTGGGATATCCCTCGCTTTAGTTTATTTGTCCTGTAAAATGTTTAAAAATACTTTTACTGAACTTGGACATTGACAGTTTTCTACTATGGGGCCATTGTACCATAAAATAAGTAGACATCATATGTGATTTTTTTTTTTTTTTTTTTTTTTTTTTGGTTAGGTGTCTAGGCAAGGCCAGTCTCAGGAAGCTTATGAAAAAGGCAGAGAACATCCTGAAGAAGGTAAGATGTGTTTATAGCAGATTTAACCAACCTGGCAGTTTCCCATTATATTGGAAATACATCTATTGATCCCAGTCAGTATATATTATGGTTAGATATATACTATATGGTCTCTGGATTTCACTGTTGAGATGGTGGATTTGTGATGCTAAACCCTACTTAGTTTGGCTATTGCAGCATTTGAGTAAAGCTGTATAGGTGGGCCATCTAACCAAAGCCATTCCTTTTGAATGCAGGTTGTTGGTTATAATTGTGATTTTGCCAGCTGACATTATGTTTCTATGCCATGGGAATGTTTCCCCAATCAATCCAGTGTCCATTTTTTAAAAATATAATTTTTAAAAGATACATTTCTTATCTGTTTGCTAGGAAAGTATATGTATGCTGTTCTTACAAGACAAGACAGAACTATTTGCTCAGACGTTTATTTATTTGTTTGCTTTACAAAAGTGGTTAACAAATCCTTTTTTCAAAACTGTGATGAAGAAATCAGCTTAATTCAAACAATACACTGGAGATCCAAAGTGCTGCTAATTAAAGACAGTTGTAGGAAGGTCTGCTGTATATTTGGTCAAATAAAATATTTCATTGAGCCCAGTTAGGCGAATTTTTTTGCACAAAATATTTCAGCTTCTTGTAAAATCCTCAACGTAGACATGTCTTCTGTTATCCAGGAATTGTGAAGGACTTGTCAATAAATATGGACAACCTAAATCCAGCTGCTTGCACTGCTTGCAAACTAGCCATTATTATTTAAATTAGATATTAAGCAGATTAAAAATGGAGCCTCCTCTAATGAACAGGCTCACCATACCAGCAGGGTATTGTTGTATGCCAGCCTGAACTCTTTTTCTCCTTAATTGCTTCTAATTGGCCCAATCAGAATAAGCCAGATCATGCGGCATATATAAAGACTACTAAAGTTTTAGAATTACACATTTTAAAAAGTGCATATCAATCATTAGAGAAAGCACATCTAAGCCACATATATAAATATTTTCTCTATACATTGTAGGTGTAAACAGATTTTTTTGACGCTTTAATATTGTAGAGATCTGGCAGACTGCAATTTTGAAGGTTGGAAATATTCGCTAGTAGCCAAATTGTACAACCTATCACACAGCATCTGTATGGAAAGCGAAAATTTTATATACTTATATTCTTTCAAGAGGTTTTAAAACCTAGCTCACAAAAGACTGAAAGCAAAGATGAATCTTTAAGAAATGCTAAAGCTGCTTGATGAAGATTTTGTTATATGAAAATTTCTTTTATATTAGAAATGTAAAGAACAGACTAAAATAACCCTTGCTTTTTACAGGCAAACACACAGATGGTATCTTGTACAATAAAGGACCTTCTTATTCTGGTTATTCTGGGTATATCATGATGCCAAATATGAACAATGATCCATATATGTCTAACGGATCTCTTTCTCCACCAATTCCTAGAACAGTAAGTGTTTTCTTTATATATTCATGTGTCTCTGTGTTGTTTTTAATGCAATGCATGAAGGAAAGCTATCTTTGGAAAGACAAGCTTTATTTACCAAGGAGCAAATATTTAGTTTTGATAACATTTCAGAAGACTCCTTCCTGCTCTGTGCCATTCTTCTCTTCAGAATCATTTCTAATTGCATACAGACATTTTTAATAATATTCAGAAACCTGTAATAGAGCATAAGGGGTAAATTGTACAGAATGACTGGGTGGTATAACTTCAATAGCAGATGTAACCATTGACATATGTTTGTGATGTTCATTATGATGTACATCTTTGTAGATGCTGGCAGTTGCCAAAGCAATTGTTAGGTTTCTTTTAAGTTTTCTTAGGATTAAGCTTCATTGGTTCAATTAAGCTGATTAGTTCTGAGAAACATGTGTAAGGCTGCTCCATTAGTGGTTACCTAGGTTTAAAGAGACTGAAGTCCCTAGCATATCTTACTAGATAAACCCAATAAATCTGGGGTTTGAGTTGGGCTAGTGGTAAGACAATCTTATCTATTTTTGCTGGGCAAACTTTTTCCCTTTATATTAATATAAAAATGGGAACAAGTATTCAGTATTGACAATACTTTAAACAAAAAGCTAGGGTCATTATCCATTTGATATCCACAATAACATATTTTAAAACTGAAAATTACTGCAAGAGCTAATTTTTCACGGTCCCAAAGATTAACGTTATTTTTCTCTTGTTGGGCATTTTTCATTCACATCAATGTGTTGGTTTAGGGCTTGCTTAAATAATTTATTTAAGTCATGGTGAAAAATCCACAGGAGGTTATGGGTTTCTGAGTTTTTAAGTTACTGTGCTCTCTAAGATTATTATAACACTAAGTGTTATACACTGAAATGTTATAAAGATGGAAAGTGAAGTGAATTGTAATGTACTAAAGCAGCTTATATTAAAATGTATTTGTTTTAGATGGCACACAATTCTTTATGATTTCAACTGTATTTTGAGCCCTGGTTGCATGAGACATAGAATTTAACACACATCTATAAAATGCACATATAATCCTAAAGTATTATGCAGGCATATAAAAAAGGTCCTCGTGATATCTATCATATAGCCAGAATTTCAAAAATTTCTTGTTCATCTGGGACAATGTGCATCTAATGGCAAACTTGGTTTAGCAGTGTGCCATGTTTGAAATGGTCTAAAAATGACCTCATCTGTTTCAGTAGTAATCCTGTTTTAAGTTGGTGGGGTTTACTTCTATGTAAACATGAATGTATTGCATTGTGTATCTAGAGATGGTGGATTGCAATGTTATCTGCAGTGCTTTTGAGAAGAGATAAATCAGTGGCACAATGATGTGCATACTTCCAAACGTGAAGTATTTTGTTGTATACTAGCATACTATGATTTGTCTAGAAACAAGCCAAATGCCTAAACATTCAATATATGAAACAATTAAAAATTTATAGTTAAATATTATCTTCTACAAAATGTTTGTATTGGCTTCCTCTAGAGAATAATAATTGGTTTGGCTTGATGAATAGGTTGAAACTGTATTGGAGAGTGCCAGTAACTTATAATAGTTTTGTATTTCTGCCTAAACTGAAATGTGATGGTTGAAGAGAAGAGAATAATTTTAATGCTAAATATCATATCAATATTGGACATATCAGTATTTCTGAGTATTTTATGCACTTAATGATTTGCTTGATAATTAAGAAAATAGAAAGTATGGTGCAATAGACTCCCAGAACTTATATCAAACATATTTGTAGCAAAGGGACTTTACAAGGTGATAATAATATTGTTCATTTTCTGAAATGATCAATGTATCTTCTCTTATATCACTATAATTACCTTCATCAGCTACTTATTGTACCTCTTTAAACAAAAAGGCATACTCTTATCACAATACATTTTCAAATATTTGAAGACTTTGGAACTAGGGATTTTACCATAGTTAAAAGCTAGTCATTATTTTATATTTTCTTATTGTTTGTTTTATTGTAGGTTGTGTCATTCAGTGATAGGATGGAAAATTCTTTATGATTTCATTCACCCTGTATGTTTTAAAAAAATTATGGAATTTACATGAAATCCCATAATATAGGAAGTGAATAGAGGGTTAGGATTAGAGTTGGAAGTAATTTGAATTGGGGAGAAAATTGAGAGGGGAAAAAATGGGGATATTTGCAGTAGTCTTTAGGAGGATTCTCCCCAAAGTGTCAGTTCAAATAGTGATGGTTCAAATTCTGAACCACCAAGGACAGTGGCTTTTTTTCTCAGCTTATACTCAGTTGATTGATTTATTCATGTTCAGGGAATGTAATGAATCCCATTACAAGGTTTATATACTTTCCCCATATCTAATAAAAGTTCTGTTGCCATTTTTTCAACGTGGAGAAAAACATGTATAGTATGCAACCCTTGGTGATTTTTTCTCTTCTTGGGATGCTAATCTAATTCTGCAACCCTGAATATTTTGAGTATATCATCTGAAAATACTCTTGAAAAGAAATGTACATACAAAAATTCTCTAAAATATGTTTTAATGCAACTTATATAAACACTTGAATGCATATTGCATAACATGTCAAGCCAAAGGATATTGCTAATAGGGCGCTTATATTTGAATGTGGTAGTGTGGTAGAACAGCAATATATGTGTCAGTGTCTTTTGGTACAGTTTTCAATGTACATTTTGATGCTATGATGATTTCAAAATTGCACTCTGCTAGATAAATTGTATATAGTGTCTGTCTGTATGGTACTCTAGATTATTTGGGTAAAAGTTGCAGTTTTATGTGGGGATGAGTAAGTCTGAGCATCTATTAGGAGTTTTTTTTCTACATCTTGATTTCTCTAATTTTACTCATATCATTGGGCTACAGAGCATAGTTCCCTCCATGAGCAAGATATATTATGTGATAACTCCTCATCATATCTTGTTTACAAAATCTCTTTTCAGTAATATATAACAACTAACATATAGAAATTTGAGTAGGCTGAATTATGTAAAATATTCAAAATTCTGTGACTTTCTATAAAAATCTTACTCTGTAATATAGTGAATTTCCTAAAGTAATAAATTGTGCTATAAACAATAAAAATGATTACTGTTTTTGTTGGAAAAATCTTTTAACAGTTACTCTCCTGTTATATTTTGCATAGCTTACTTTCTTTCTGAAATTCATCATATTATCATGGAATGTCTGAAGTTACAACCTTCAGATTTACTAAGAAGCTGCTATAAACTATGGAAGGATGCAGGAGAAGCAGGTGGAGCCCTAAAAGGCAAAAGCCTGCCTTTCTCAAGGCAAGCCATCATGTAGCCCATGTTAAGAGTGAGATGTTTAATCCTTGTGAGCATAGCTTTGGGTCCCCTTTTGGCAGTTCCTGACATAGCAGAGTGGGAACTAATGGAAAGGGATAGAGAAGAAAGCGAGCTATGTATACGTGCATGTGCTTTATGTGATTTTATTCCTGTAAATAACTGTACATATTCACCAATCTGTATACATCACTTTTCGAAGCAATTAGATTAAAGGTTAAGTAATTTTGGGTTGGCAATATTCAGTAATTCTGTGATATGTAGTTTTGGATTCTCAGTAATATGTTTCTAGTTGCAATTATTAGATCGCTACTTAAAAAATATTTTGCTCAATGGAAGAGCTATATGCTTTCTAGAATAGTAAATGAACTAAGCACTAAGTTTTTAAAACTGCTCTAAATGTAATTTGCAGTATCAAAGTTGAATGTTACCTTCGTTTTAAGCATCCCAATCTTAGTGATATCCGATATGTATGTGAATAGAAACTACCCAAATATATAATATAAATGTTACTAAAAGCCTGATTATATGGTGAAAGGAATTTAATTTTAATTTCAGACCACAATGCTTTTATTTTATTTTAAAAGTTTTTTATATAATTCTTAAAGAATTGCAAGGAAGAAAGGCATATTGTGGCAAATAGGGTAGCACAAGCAATAATTTAAGCCAGAGGATGCACAGATAATTAAGAATATAATCTTGTATATTATATGTACATTATAGTATCTACCGTATATGCCGGTGTATTAGGCGACTCGGCGTATAAGACGACCCCCGTCTTTATCGCTGAGCCGCATTCCTAGAATGTCATCTTATATGCCAGAAACTACCAGTATTTCCGGCGTATAAGATGACTCGGCGTATAAGACGACCCCCATCTTTGGCGCCGAGTTTAGCGCTTCTGGAAGTCGTCTTATACGCCGGCATATACGGTATACTGTTCTTGTACTGTAGTCTTTAAAAAATAAACTGTTCTTGGAGGAAAAAATTCTTATACATAAATTAGCAGAGTACATTTATTACATATTCCTAATTGTAGCATCTTTTTCTGGATAATTTTCAAAGGTTTTCAATAGTAAAATTTGGAAATTTGCAGAACTATAGAAAATGCATTTTGTAAAGGTCAAACTCTTTCAATTTGATTATATAGAAATGAAAGACTTTGCATTTTCTCCTTGCAATCTTCCAATGTTTATGTTCCATGGAAAGATTCATTGAAAGGATATGTTTCTTTTGACCTCTTGGCCAACAGAGATTGTCCTTTACCAAGTGATACTAAGAAAATAACATTTTGAGCTCAGGTAGATTTTAAAATATGCCCATATGCACATATACATACACCTTAAAAAGATTAAGACATGACAAAATTGCAGTGCTGGTGAGTCATTCAAATGATATTGAATGCATCCTTGTGTTTCTCTGCATAATAATGGATTTAAACAAAGGTTTGGCTATATAAGCATTTTAAATAAATATCTTTAATTCCTTTCTTCTCCATCTTGCATAGCTAATGGTAGCATTGTTGGGAAAGACTGAATGAAATTATTTAATGGGGGAGACTGTACATACAATAATATATTAATATTTTAAAGGGCATGATTGTTTATTGAATTTAAGACCATCCTTCACCCAGTGCATATATAAATGCCCAGGATTTTACTTCT